TCCTGTATGAGGTGTCTCCCAGTCAGAGGGGCATGGTGGTCAGGGATCCACTTCGGGAGGCAGTCTGTCCCTTAGCAGAGCTCAAGAAGTGCTGTGCTGGGAAATCCACTGCTCTCTTCAGAGCTGGCAGGCAGGAGTGTTTAAGTCTGCTGAAGCTGCACCCATAGCTGCCCTATGCCCCAGGTGCTCTGTCCCAGGGACATGAGAGTTTTATCTATAAGCCCCTGACTGGGGCTTCTGCCTTTTTTCAGAGATGCCCTGCCCAGAGAGTAGGACTCTAGAGAGGCAGTCTGGCTACAGTGGCTTTGCTGAACTGCAATGGGCCTCACCCAGTTCTAACTTCCAGGTGGCTCTGTGTATACTGTGAGGGGAAGATTGCCTACTCAAGCCTCAGTAATGCTGGCCCCTCTCCCACCACCAGCTTGAGCATCCCAGGTCGACTTCAGACTGCTGTTCTGGAAGCAAGTATTTCAAGCCAGTGGATCTTAGCTTGCTGAGCTCTGTGTGTGTGTGTGGGGGGGGATGTGCTGAGCTAGACCAATTGACTCCCTGGCTTCAGCCCCTTTTCCAGGGCAGTGAACAGTTCTGTCTCATTGGTGTTCCAGGCACCACTGGGATGTGAATCAACACTTTTGCAGCTAGTTTGCTGTCTACCCAAGTGGCCACCCAGTTTTGTACTTGAAACCCAGGGCCCTGGTGGCATAGGCACCCCAGGGAATCTCCTGATGTTAGGATTGTGAAGACTGTGGATAAACCTGGTATCTGGGCTGGAATGCACCGTCCTTCATGGCACAGTCCCTCAGGGCTTTTCTTGGCTAGGGGAGGGAGTTCCTCAATCCCTTGAACTTCCCAAGTGAGACAATGCCCCACCCTGCTTCAGCTTGCCCTCCATGGGCTGCACCCAGTGTCTAATCAGACCCAATGAGACAAGCTGGACACTTCAGTTGGAAATGCAGAAATCACCCACCTTCGGTGTTGATCTCACTAGGAGCTGCAAGACTGGAGCTATTCCTATTAGGCTATCTTGCCAGCCCATCACCTTTTCATCCATATATATCCACATGTAACCTGGGATACATTTGGTTTTCTGGGAAGGTTGATTTTCAAGTGGTGTTTGACATTCCCTTGTTAAATAAGGCCTCAGAAAAAGTATCTTAACTCAAGCGTGACATCTGTCTGTGGTTCAAGGACCTCTGCTGTATAGTCTAGAGAAACTGGAACATGTTAATCATAGTTATTTTAAAGTCTATATGTGATATGGGGCTGGAGTTTCCTTTTGTAGGACACGTTTATAAGCCCAAAACATTTAGTAACTGTAGGCTATTAACTAGATCAAGATTTTCTTTTATTTTTGTCAGTTTTATAGCCTGAAACATAATTTTCCTTTTTGTTTATTTTTGAAAAATTGATTTCCTCCTGATTTTTTCCTGATTCATGGATTATTTTTTAAATGTTACTTAATTTCTAAATATTTTGGGATTTTTAAAGATATCTTCATTTGTTATGGACTTCTATTTTAACTTTGTTGAGGTAAGAGAATATATTATTTCAAATTATATAAGCATGATACCGGAAAGATAATATTGTTATGTTACTGCCAGTGAATACTCTGCCCCCTTCCCAATTGTCTTAATAATATATTCAAAGAAGGATTATTCAGTTTAGAAATAATATTACATTTTTGCTGCTTCGCTAGTGATTTTCACCAAATATATAAAAAAGAACTAATATAAATCTTACACAAATTCTTTTGAAAAATAGAGAAAGAGTGATACTACACTCATTTTACTAAACTAGCAAGACCCTGATAGCTAAACCAGACAAGGATATTACAAGAAAAAAAATATACACTCATATGTCTTATGAATGTATTGGTTGAATGAAAGAGTTGGTACCTTTACGAGAAGCAAATTTTTGCAGACAAAAACAGTTGACTCCCTGGAATAAACTTTCAGAAAATCCTATAGAAGCTGTTCTGCCTATGGAGTAACCATTCTTTTATTGCTTTGCTTTCTTAAAAACAAAAACAAAAACAAAAACAAAACTTGCTTTCACACAAAAAAGGAAATCTTCATAGAAATTTGAGTACAGCTTGGTAAAAATACATTTGTGTATGGGCAAGGACAGAAGAGAACCCAAAAGCAGTTAATTGTATAAGAGTGCTCACACTAGGTGGTTGTGTTCCTTCTTGTAAATAATATAGGTATTGTGCCTATATTATTTACAAACAATAATATACTTGGCTCAATGAAATATTTAAATTTGAAATAAAATTTATATAACATAAAATAAAGAAAAAGAATGTATGTGAGATAACTGCAATATCTGAATCAGTGGGCTGTTTCTCTTTCTTAATGCATATTCTGTGACAATGAAAAAGTGTATAAAACTCTCCAGAATTAGAGTTTTAATTCACCTAAATTAATTTTAATATACAAAAGCGACTAAAGAGCTACATAATCTGCTAGAGATATCTTAGTGAAATTAGAATAGTGTGTCCAAGAAAGCATGGTTAAAATCAATTATAAAGAAAATATTTTTAAAATCCACTGTAGCTTATATTTTCTCATTGATACACCAATTACTCACCTCTACAATTGGCTCTCTTAAATTTTGCCTTTGTTACTTGGAATCTGAATGTGAAAGCTTTATTGATCACACTGCTTTTTTTTCTTTTTAAATTTTTAAATTTTTCTTCCTATTTCTATTTTCTGGATGTTCTTTAAATTGTCCTGAACTTCTATCGTTTCTATATACTGGCTCCCACAGGGAGAATATCTACATATATCCTGTTGAGCAACTTAAAGCAAAATGCTTAGAATAACAGCACAGAAAGAAATCTTGCAAAAATAATCCATTGTCATCTCTACCTGCTTATATATACATACATACATACATACATACATATGTGTGTGTGTGTGAGTGTGTGTGTGTGTGTGTGTGTGTGTGTGTGTGATATGCCATGGCAGTACATGGTTTTCTTATGCATCATTATGCTATTGCAAAGAAAGAAGTCATGATCTCCGTGTGTATTGTTGAATTAAACTTAGTCTGTGCTTACTTTCAAGACATTATTTAGAGTCTAGAATGACAATTTTCTGTTAGTTTCATTTTTCTAGTTTTAAATTAAAATATGAAATTTTAGTTTTTGAACATCACTTACATCTTGCAATTGAATGCACTTTGGATTGAGAAAATCATAGTGCTAAGAAAGAGTACTTAGTCCATTTCCAAGAAGCCTGTATTTTAAGTAAACCCATAAGTAATGTTCGTAGTATGAATCAAGGCAACAATGAGTCATTATTAAGAAGCGATTACAGATTTCTGGGTTTTTTTTCCTAATTATATTTTAAAGCATGTCACCAGCTGTGGTTTCAAAATTTATATGATATATTTTAGTCTAGCTTGGGGTTTATTCTTCTTTGTGTTTTGGTGCTGCAGATTCAAGGGTCAGATTAAATAGCATCTCAAGTGTACAAAATGGGGTACAGAATAACACAAAAACATTCATAGCTTTCAAATACATATTTAACAATTATCAACTAAGTATATTCTCTATTAGTAGCAATGTCCTATGTTAAGCTTACTATTATGACTCTTCTTTTGGCTCATCCCGGGTGCACTTGCTGTATGCTGATCATAAAATACTTTGGTGTCTCCGTTTCTATTAATTCATAGCAAAATGCCAGAGTTAATAGTTTTTGAACATATATGTTTATCTTATAATTGGTTAAGAAATGTTGATGTCAAAAAACAAGGAGAACTAACTTATACCTATAACCTTTGACATTGTAAATGTAGAAAACATTTATCCTATAAATGTAATTGTCCCAGGAACAATTTCCCTCGCAATGTAGACAGTGTTCAGCTTTGAGTATGTGAAAAAAAAGTAAGTGCTCAGTGTTTGCTGATTTATCAGTTTAACTGAAAAGAAATCTCATTATATAAGAGTGATACATTGTTTATATCAGTTATAATTACTTATAAGTGGTAATAAATATATCTACAAATGGAACAAATAAATCTATTGTCTTGTTGATAATTGACTTTCATAAAAGTCATTCTGTGAATCTAAGTATAGTTAGCTTAATTTTATATGTGTTGACTACAATTCATAGCTAGTCAGAAACAAATTGGAAACAGTTAAAGCAACTCATCTCAGAAGTCAGCCTATATTAAATTGTAAATCCTTCTAAAAATCATATGACCTATTTTATATAGATATCTAATTGATGGCTAGCAATGGAATTGCATTTTCAAGTCCTGTGTAGGTCTAGACACATAGTTTTGTGTAATACAATTAAATCTGTGTTATTAAATATGTATGCCATATAATAAAATCTTTGCTTAAGGAAAAGCAAACTATGTGAGTGTTGTGTGTTTTATTGTGTATTTTTAACTGCAAGGGGTAAAAATATTGTTCTAAACTTTGATAGAGATTGTTTTGCAAAATGCTTCAAGTTTTTCACTGAAGTTTGAAAGCTTCAGGGCTCTGTCAGATTGAAAAATGCCAACACCAGGAGACAGAGATGGAATAGATATTCAGCCTGGCAGACTTGGGTGTGTATTAAAAGAATAAGTACATTTTACTTGGTCAATCACAGCATCGTGATTATGAGTGATAAGTACTAGGTCATAAAGGAAAAACAGATGAAGTTTGAGAATGATAACTGAGGATGTATGACTAAAAACATGCCACAATAACAAAGAAACTTTCAATCTACAAGGTCATTTTTCTGCATTATTTCATGTGCTTTATCTGTATATTGTGATAATATACAATATTATCTGTGATTGATTTGTAAACTGAAAATATCTGTGATTGATTTGTAAACTGAAAAGGTTTTTGTAATGGCAAGTTTCTACATCTAATAATAAAGGATGATTTATTACTAAAATGATAACATATTATTAGTTACTATGATTTCTTTAAAACTAAGAATTATTTATAGCAATGTCTAATCATATATATGACCATTCTTTTTGTTGATATTTTGCAGTGAGGCCCACAGTAATTGAAACTGATGTTTATGTAAATAGCATTGGACCAGTTGATCCAATTAATATGGTGAGTAAGAAATATTAAAAATCATTATCTGCCATAGAGATTTCTCAACTGTGTACCTCTAAAATAGAATTGGGATGTGAGTAAATTTTGATAGTTAATTCTGAAGTAATTCAGATGAACATATACAATTACTTTGGGCCAAGTATTGGCAACTGGAGCTAAAATATACCTGTATTTAAGAATTTGTATTTCATTATTCCAATGTGCTGTGTTTGATAGAACCATGCAAGTGCCTAACAAATTATCATCTTGTCCACCAAGAAGAGGTCCCTAAGGAAATCTGGAAAGAAAAAAAATCAGAAAGCCTGAGGGGAAAGTAGTCAATCAGGGTAGGAAAGGGACTTACTAACAGAGAAAGCAGCATGCACAAAGTCACGGAGAAAGGAAACAGCCTGATAAGATCAGGGGCAATTCTAGCAATTTGATGTTACTGAAATATCAAGTGCAAAGTAAGGAATTGAGGAAAAAGGGATATTTAAGGGTCTTACTAGGACAGTTTTGTAAGCCACCATAATAGGAAGCTTGTAAATTGTATTATGTATGAATTGTATTATTTGGGATAAGAGAAATAACTGGAAACATTTTATCAGAGGAGCGTCAAATGTGGATTTATATTTTTAATACATTACTCTTATAGAAGTATAGAAGATGGAAGTAAGAGTCCAAATTAGGGTTACAGAGACCCGTTACAGGTTATTGTATTAGTCTGGACAATAGATCTTCGAGGTCTTACCTACTGCAGTTGCAATCTAGTTGGAGGTGACAATAATATATTGTTTAAAAATTCAGTAATTTTTTGAGAATTTGGTGACTTATTAATTTTGTGTAAGCTGACTCCCAGGTATAGAGATGAAGAGGCTTTAAAATGGTAGAGTCATTATCAGATGTAGGAATACAACTTAGGCCTCTGTGTCCCAAGTGCTCATGGTGCATTCAGGAGGAGCTGTCCAGCAGCATTTTGCCTTAGAGACCTGCTATCAGGGAAGATGTTAGTATAGAATATAGTTGTAGACGAGAAAAGGAAAGGAGACAAACAGCGTATAGTACAGCTTACGGCATCAAGAATGTGTGAGATGATCTAAGAGAAGACTCAGATTAAGAAGATCACAGATCTGAGGACCAGATGGTGTAATGAGATGAATGTATATAAAATACAGTTGGTAGAAAGGGAAGCACAGAAAGGGGACATATTCAGAAAAGTCAGAGGGGTAGGAGAAGAAATGAGAGAATATGATATTATAAAATGTGAGAGAGTAAAGAGGATAAAGGAGAGGGGTATGATAATGAAGTACAAGTGGACAAGTGAATACAATAAAAATGATTTAAATCGTGATCACTGGCATTGGCACATAGGTGGTGGTGATGATCTTTGTTAGAAGAGATTCAGTTGGAATGGTGAAGGCAAAGAGGGATAACAGCTGGATTATACATCCCTCTTTCATCCTCAAAGCTGGTCTCATGCCCAAACATTTCTGCCATAGAGCCCTGAGAATATATATGTTTCCTGCAGGGATAGTCATGTAGTCATGTGCTGGTTTCCGGGTGCTAGGGAATGAGTGAGAATGTAGAGTTAATTTTATAGACTACTATTTTGAGAAACTTGGCTTAAGAGAAGATGAGATAAGAGTATGGGGATAGAGAAAGTAGAGGAGAGAATACAAGCAATAAGGGAGGGAAAGAGAATATCAGAAAATATCAAGACAGGATCATTTAGAATAAAAATTAAGCAAGTGTGATATTAATTCTTTGTGTTTTATTACTAATGAAGAACAGAATTAACAACACTAATATAAGTAGCAGGAATTATTAAAAAAAAAAAAAAGACTTCACGATGCTCCGTTCCAAACACTGATAATTCCATTGTGTGAGTCAAACTACTGGGTTCCATTGAATGCATTCAATAATGTCCTCTTCTCCTCTCCTTTGCTTTTGCCTTTGGTGTCAGTCCTCTAGGGTTGCCACAACAAAGTAGCACAAACGGGGTGTCTTAAATGACAACAATCTATTCCTTACAGTTACAGAGGCTGGAAGTCTAAGGTCAAACTGTTGGCTGGTTTGGTTTCATTTTAGGTCTATCTCATTGCCTTGCAGAAAGCCACTTTCTCACAGTGTCCTCAGATGGTGTTTTCTCTGTGCTCATGAATTCCTGGTGTCTTGTTTTGTATTCAACTTGTCTCTTCTTATCACAAGTCATATTATATTAGGGCCCACCTTAAAAGCTGCATTTGACTTTAAAGGCCTTGCCTTTGAATATAGTCACCTTCTGAAGTTCTTGGGATTAAGTCTTCAACATTTGAATTTAAGGGGTAACACATTTAAGCCCATAAGACATTCAAAGATAATTCTCAAATACTTGGCTGATTTTCTTATTCATTTTATTTATTCAATATTAAAACAGTCAGATACTCTCTTTATTACAGGCTTTGCCACTTTATAGCTGATGGACCTTTATAATTTGCCTATCAGTTGCCTGTATATGCTTACTCCTCTGGTCTGACAGTCACACTCAGTTTTTCTCTTACTCGATGTAATCTTCATATGATTCGTCAACTTTTACGGTTGTCTGCACTGATTATTGTAGTGATAGTGTTTTAGCCACACCAGAAGTGACATCTTTGTCACCTTAGTGCAAGCAAATATGAACTGACTGTGGCCAAATTGAATTTGAGAGGATGAAGGAATGTTCCATTAGACTGACCTAGAAGATAGCCTTAAATTAGGGGCTAATATTCAGGGAAAAGTAGAGGCTGGGGCCAAGTCTTTGTCCAGAATGCTAAACCTCTGTGAGATGGGGGAACCAGCTTTAAAGTGAAGACAGAAGAAAAAAGAAATGAATAGCAGACCTTAGGGAACACATGTATTTAAGGACCTGAAAGATGAAGCTGAGACAGTAAATGACACATCAAGGTTGGCAAGAAAATGACAAAACTGCCGAGGAAACCAAGTGAAGAGAAAGTTTCAACAAGTCTTTTTAGTATTAGTGCTATCCAAAACATATTACTATAGAATTAGTTGGTTTTGCAAACAGAAACATTTTAATATACATGTGTAATAGGTTATATTTTTAATAATATGCAAATATCAGATTTCATAAAGTAATACATTTGTTACTAAAATGTTAATTATTTTTTAGTAGAATATTGTAATGTTTAGTTTCTAAGTAACCAATGCCTAGAGAAAATAAGCCTGTTTGAGCATGTGGGAAAGTCTGCATTTTCTTGAATTGTACATTTTTTCTTTGGGGTTTTTGTTTTTAATTTGCATGAATGCATTAAATAAAAATATGGTCATTAAAGTAAAGAGAAACAAGATTCAAGTACTTATTAGTATTCTGGAAACACTTTGACAAGAATGGCTACCAACAGGCTTCTATGATGATCTTCCTATATAAAAAATTCATGGTATTAAAGATTTACTTTCCCCAGTGCGGCAAATTACACACACTTTTAACTTTGAACAGTGTTATTTTTTAAAAAAAAAACCTAATTAAATAAAATTACTAGTGGTACTAAAACAAGTAAAAATAAATAAATGAACCCTATGGAGCACTTGATAGTGTTTATTAAAAAAAAGAAAAAGCATTGTAGTACTAGGGATGAATAAGAAATACGTTAGAAGACTATTTTAACTAAACAACGCAGGGAAATTAGAATTTACTTTTCATAAAATCAGCAAAATTGCTTTGAATGTGAGTGTAATCAAGGAAGCTGATTGAGCATAATTAAGCAAGCAAGAGGGTGCCACCCCTATAAGTACTCATATAATTTAAGTTACTAGTAAGGAACAAAATTAATGTATTACTTTGTTTTTGTTAAGTTAGCCAAAATTTGTTTTGCTGCAAAATGGGTGTTTCTTTTTAAACTCAGATACATAAAATGGCATTTCTATAGATTACTGAATAATGTCTAAAACACCATTATTCTACAATGGAATATGCTTTTCTTTTTACAGCCTAAAGAGAAACAGATGCACTAATGAAGACTGGGGAAAAAATAGAGTAACTCAGAAAGAAGCTGTTCAATTTTATATATGCTCTGAGTAAAACTATCTTCAATATGAGCAGAACAAAAATACACAATCAGAATCGAAGTCAAGAACATGTTACTAGAGATTAGACAAAATAGTTATAACTTCTTAACTCTTTAGATTTGGGGGAGATTATGTATCTTTACTCTTCTGAGCAAATATCTCACAATGGTGGCTACCCTCTGATTAGCAAGTACAACACTCAAGGGCCATAGCAATTCTTTAAATCAAGTCAAAATCAGTGAGAGCTCTAAGAAATTCAATATGATATTATGGGTCTGTAATAGGAAGCTACAGCATAAGATTAGTAAGTACAAAAGTAGCTACAACTAAAAATTCCAGGTGTAATTTGGATATGAATTTAATTGTAGAAACTGGTATACCCTTATATAATCCAATATTAAGAGATGACTAATATGGAAACTTTGAAAGAAAGGGACAAGGAAAAACTAATAAAAACTACTTTGATCTCAGTTCTCATCTGCAGAACTTAATTTAAATATTTTCTTATTGGAAGAGTGATATGTCACACAGTCCTAAAATATACTTCTGAAACTGAATAGAATCTTCCTGCTGGAAATTCTGATTGGTCTTAGTAATGGAGACAAGGATGAGGAACAAGGGCACCAGCTATGAAGATGACAATTTAAAAAGAAACTAGGAGGTCACCTAGGCTATACTTGAAAATAACTGCCTTGACTACAAGGGGGTGAGGAGTACGCAAAGATTAGGCAAACTTAGCGAATGACAGAGTGCTTTCTTTCTGGCCTGTGCAGAAATATGTAACAGAAATGCCCATATTCAGCATCTTTTTTTTTTTTTAACAGAAAAGGACAATCTATTCTCTACAAAAGAAAAAAAATCTTTTTTAAATAACAATGTATATGGAGTTACAGAAGTCACAACCATTATGTATTATAAAATGTAAATAAGGGAGTTTTTTCTTAGTAATAATTTTTTTCATTTAGTTAAGT